TTTTCTGGGTGTTTTAGGAGCCGGGGAACACGAATCTAGCGTTTTTTCGATGTCCGAATGTATGTGCGTGGTACCCTGTACGCTGTACGCTGTACGCTGTACGCAAAAATTTGTTAACACGATAACTTTCAAAGAAGAAAAGTAATTCAAAATCTGACTTCACAGGATGATTGGGGGTGCCGAGGAATAGAAACCATTAGATTTTGAGCGACTTTGGTTGACAGAGTAAAGTGTCATGTCTGGTGTGATGCCCATGGCCATCCATGGGAAAAATTCAATTTTTCTTCCAAAAGTGATATTTAATGTATACTTAAACACTCAAAAATGTGTATTGGGGGGTTTTTGGGTACGAGAAAACCGAATATGACGTTATTTTTGCGATACAAATAACTTTCGACACACTTTTCATACAAAAATTTCAAAAAAATTGAATTTATGTATGAAATCCATGTCTGTATGATATCGTAACTAGCTGAAACTTTGCAGAGGCTATTTTTATCACAAAAAAAAAAATACCATTCCGAGAGTTTGAAGACATTTCAACGCATATTAGGGGTACCTCCCAAACAAAATTTTGGATTTTTCGCTCAAAAACGAAATTTTGTATGGAAAGTACCCTTAATATGCATTGAAATTTCTTCAAACTTTCCGAATGTTAACTTATTGTGAAAAAAATAACCTCTGCAAATTTTCACATGATTACGATATCATATAGGCATGGCTGCGATACAAAAATTCCCATTTTTAGTAGTTTTTGTATGAAAAGTGCTTCGAAAATTATTTGTATCGTAAAACTAATGTCAGATTCAGTTTTCTCGTGAATTCTTTGAGTAAAAGATTTGTAATAAATGCATGTTGTGGATCACAGTGCGGAAAAGTTCATCTTACGGATGTAAGACATTTTATTTGAAAAGTGAAATTAACATTTCGTTCCGTTTTATTTCAAAAATATAACGGAATTAAATACAAAATTCACCGTAAAATTGTCAAAAATTCTTTAAAATAACAAAAACGAACAGACTTCGTATGAATACACAAGACATATTTTTAATATAAACAAAAACCGTTATTTTAAGTTGAAAACCATTATTCTGTTCAGAAAGTAAAAGAAAAAATGTCGTTTAAATTGTTTTGCTTTCAGATAAACATAAATCAAATATTTATATCTCATTATGATAGAATTGTTTGTACTCCAAATGAATTAATAAATTTGAATCATAAACCTTGACCCCGCATTGGTCTGTGTTCACATTATGCTGTCAAATGAATAATATTGGAAGCAAATTGATTCATGCAAAAATGTGGAATCAACGGATTTCATTAATTATTAAATTCAGATTTTAGATTGAAAAAAGTAAGCACATAATTAATGTTCACTATCTTGAGCCAAAATGTTACATTTTTTCAACGTAAAAATATCCAAAGAGCTGTTCATATTTGTTTCTTGACAATTTCAGTTTCCATAATCAACGGTCACAGGATATAGCTGGTATACATCGAATGTAAACAAAAATTTCCCCCTATAAAATCGCAAAAAAATGTACGCGCATGTGAGCTAGAACAATATTAATTCTAGCGCTCTCGTCACACAAACCAAACACACAGCAATAATATACAATCAGCATTCAGCTGGAGAGCTCATATTGATTTTTCCGTTGTTGTTGATTTTCATTTGGAATAGCAACATCAACGCATTTTGCGACCGAGTTAAATTAAATCACTTCCCTTTTTGTACAAAAAAAAAGTAAGTTTTTTGTATGTTAAATTGTTTTATAGAAATCATACAGCATTAGAGTTTATAAAATTATTCGGATTTTAAACGGTGAGTCAGATTAAAAAATGTGTGAAATAATGTGATGTACAATATATTCAAGTGATGAGTTCACAAAAAAAATGATTCACTTTATGCGTTTATTGGAGTAATATAAAAATTGCAAAGTGTTTGTGCGTACAAAAACATATTTTTTTGTCGCGCAATATTTGGCATTCGTTGATTTGATACATTGAATACACAATGAAAAGCTTATTCAAAAACGTTTTATGATATTTAATTTTATGCTTGCAGTTGCTTAAGAAATATCGAAATCAGAAGAAAGGCATCATTATTCTTTAGTGGTAAATAATCAAACAAAAAACATGGCATTGGATTTTGCAGCAACATACAAAGTGTTAGTTTTAGGTGATTCAAATGTGGGAAAAACATGCATCGTTCATCGCTATTGCGACGAAAGATACTACGATACTTACATATCAACCATCGGTGAGATAAATTAGAAGTGAAAAAAAAAAATTCGAAGAAAATGTTTGGAGATAAACTCATTTTAATTCTCTCTTCTTTTTTTCTTTCTTGTAATAGGTATTGATTTCAAGCAGAAGCTCATCAACTTGGATGGCGTGCCCATAAAACTTCAAATATGGTAAGAACTGTCGTACGAGAATTCGTAACACGACTTTAAACTCACACTGTGTATTTGAAATAGGGACACAGCCGGTCAAGAGCGTTTTAGAACTTTAACCACTGCCTACTATCGGGGCGCAATGGGAATTCTTTTAATGTATGATGTGACAAACATAGAATCCTATAATAATTTATCCTATTGGCTCAGAAATATTCAAGAGGTAAGTGCTGAAAAAAAAAGAGATAGAAAAAGGCAAGAAAATTCAAATGAATTTTTCTGAATAGAATGCTGCACCAGACGTAGTTAAAGTATTGGCAGGGAATAAGTGTGAGGCTCCAGTAACACAACGCGCTGTTGATAAAGAAAGGGGCATGAAGGTATTGCCATCTATCAATATATTTTCAATTTTATGTAGTTTTTAAATTATAAATTTTTCGTTGATTTATTTAGATTGCAGAAAATTTTGACATACCATTTTTCGAGGTGTCATGCAAACAAAACATAAACATAGAAGAAGCGTTTATAACATTAGCCCGAAAAATTCGCGAACAACGAGAGCAAAATGGAAATAATTTCGATGATGATGACAAACCAAAGAGCAAGCGATCACCAGGTTCGAACGGTTTGGGACCATTTACTTTAGGTTCAAATGGCGAAAGTGGACGATGTTCATGTTGAACAGGCGAATGTACTTATACACAAATACATGCAGTTCTTCTGGTTATTTTTTGGAAAAAAGAGCAACAAAATAATAATTTGAACTTGGATTGGAGCTGATGACATCACAAATTAATTTATTTATTTATATTTTATCGGTTTTTCTAACCTCTTCATAGCATTTCAATAGAATAATAGCGGGTACTATCAATAATTGGATCAAACGAAGAAAGGGAAGGGCCACAGTTCACAGCTGACACACATTTTTTTTTGTCAACTGACCGTTGTACGCAAGTATGGGGTTTTTCTGACAATCCAATCGCTTTTTCGCATAAAAACCATGTCATGTATAATGGCCATAATGCCAAGACCTGTTAAAATATCTTTTTTGCTAACTTCTCGTACTGCCATTTTTGTGTCAAAGCTACAAAATGAATGCTGCCGAGTAATTTTGTCGATAATATTTCCCCCAACTGTGAACTAAAAATGAAAACAAATATGTCAACTTTAAACTGGCCCTAAAGGGAAATTAAAACAGATAAAAACATACACACGAAACGTAAAATATGTAGAACTCTGTGATAGCGTATTGATTGTAATTCTTTCTATAATTGATAGTTTTTGTTGTTTATTTTTCTTTCAATTTTGTATTCGACACAAACGAATAATTTTGTTGATGACTATGATAATGACCAAGTGATATGTCAATTGATTTTATGAATAGAACAAATTTCGCATGACTCTAAGTGAAGACAAATCCACGATCATAAATATGATGGAATGAACGAAAAAGAAATAAAATTACAAACCTCAAATAAAGTTCTGAGGAATAAATATTTTAAGTTACATAATAAATATGATGATAACGATAAATTAAAAAAGAAACCAAATGAAATGAATTTTATGTTCATAGAACACTTTTGCAGAATCAAAGTTATTCAAGCAAAAAAATAAAACAAAGCATATTAGTTTATGTCAATGTCTCACCTTTTCGTATTTGAAAATAAATGGGTAAGTAAAAAAATAAATTAGTTAGATTTTAATTTTACTATTTTATTTACGAATCGTAAGATTCTGAAGATACATCTGTTGATTTTGAAGAAATCATAAAACAAAATAAATGTTATTAAACAGATTATCACGAAAACATGAATATTTATCAACTTATTGTAACTTAGACTTTGTGTAAAGAAAGACGAATGACTTACTGACTGTAACTCAAATCCATTAATAAGGTAAACCAATCAATATTCCTTACAAATCTCTCCACCACAGGTTCCGACGCTCAAATCGAGTAAAAACAGTGTATGCACACATTTCCGAACTCGTTAACTTTACTTAGCGCATTTTCAAACAAATTTCTGCTGTCGGTGGCTTATTAGAAAGATATTAACATCTACTTATGTATCAAATAAAAATATTACAAAAGTCTACATGAAAAAAAAAATTCACGACAGAATCGCTAACCCGTTTCGAAAAGTGTCATTGCACGTTTTTACTCCCCCTGAGTAAAAAACTCTATGCTAGAGAGATTTGTATTGAATTTTGAATTACTCTTAGTTGTAGTTAACTGATCATAATGTATGCATGAAAAATGTGAATACTTTTAGTCAATTTTAAATACAGCCAACTAACATCATTTCTTTTTTTCATGCTTTACTAATGTTAAATTTGTCCTAAATTTAGTTGAGTGGTTACTTATTCAAAATAATTTCAAATATGCGTGGTTGTTTTGTGCTATGGGAGAGATAAATGCTACTAACTTTTTCTTTTTAAATTGAATAACATTCTTTGTTTAGTCAAAAGAAAAAAAAATGCTGATTGTGGCCTGAGTTATTTCGGTCGATGTTGGTTGCGTGCTATGTTTGGTTTCATGAGTTCGGGTGTTAGTGGTGGAATCTCACCATTGAACGGGACAAATTGTGGCAAATTCAACAGTTGTTCGGTGCTCTTGATACCGGACATTAAACTACTCGTTCGTAATGGCGTTGGAAAATAGGGTTCAGAATCTAAAAGTGAACGATCAACAACAGCACGCCCATCATAAGTAACCACTGTTCCGGCCGGATATAGTTTGGTTATTTTCGATTTATTGCTGTTTGGGACATCAGGTGGTAAATAATATGCGTGTTTTTCGCCAGCCAATGCCATTTTATCATCACCATCTTCCATTTCCATGTATTCCAAAACGCCCGATAAACGTTTTGTCTGCGATTTCAAGACATTTGTACTGTCCAATGGTGATGGAATAAACATTGGTTCGAATGTTTTGATAAGAAGTTCTGAACTTTCACCATCTGCGCTATTATTATCGTCATTCAAATCGGTTTTATCACTTCGACGCTGCTGTTGTTCGGGATAATCGTATGCTTCAGTTATATCACGTATATCTGATGAATCTTTTTCGGCATCGTCTCCAGTGGATTTTCGTCGCATAATTGGAGTAAAACCACCTTCAACCACCACCGAATCCGGTTGAAAACCAATATTTTTGGCCGGTATGCTAAACTCTTTTTTACTTATTTTGATTGGACCGGTGAATTTGGTTTTTGCATTGTAAGGTGGTGGCGGTATAGAACCGCGCATTGATACAATATGCTTCTGTAATGACCACGGTTGTTGTTGCACCGGAAATTGTGGTATTGGTTTAATATTTGTGATATAATCGCGACGAATCGGTGGCATTGATATTTTCGTGACTTTTTGCCGTTCGATAAAACCTTTGCGAAGTGGCACCTGATTGTATGACTTGAAACGGTTTGCACCTTGATTATTTGGTAAAATATAGGGTATTGAATAGTTTCGTTCACGTAATGGAATTCGATGGTCATAACGGAATGGTCGCTCTGGTTGTATGGTTTTCGGTGGGGTCAAATAAACTGGTAATGGTTCGACAGCACTTCCAATCGGTTGTGCACTTCCAATCGGTTCACCATAGTGATTTCCTTCGGTCACGGTTGCGGCTGTCTTATTATTGATTAGACTTTTTTCCAATGCTTCAGCCGCTAAAATACCATTTGCAATCATTTTCATTTGATAATTGCTCTTGTCATCTCGATTTTCCAAATTGTTATTATTCAAATGCTGTTGCGCTTGATCGACGGTTTGTTCATTTTGAAGCAGATAAATATCATGAGCTTTAACTTTTGTTTCATGACGAATTGATTGCAATGGAAGCAGTGTGTCTGGTTGATCGGGCTGTACAAAGATTTCATCAAGGCGAGCTAGAAAAAAGATATTCTTCGTTAAATACAAAAAAGCGATGAAGAAACTTGAGAAGCACATTCGATGTAAAATTCAAAGAATTTCGTTCATCACGTCGATTTCATTCGATACAAACAGAAAATTGAAAATGTTAAACAACCAAATTTAACGAATGACACATATGAAATCGACATCGTTCTTTTTATGTACAGACCATGGATGTTTAATTGATTAAGAAATTTTAAATGATCGATGGCCTTCGATCATTCGATACCGATTAATTTGAAATAAAATTCATTTAAATTGTTTACGAAATAATGAGACGACATATTTTTCATTATGTTTTTTTTCGAACTGTCCCCAAACAAATTTCTCGTAAAAGTATTCATAAAAGTATAAATAAATTTGTACATGTTTATTTACACAAATTTGTCATGCCAACAGCCAATATGAATGGACGGGATGGGAGAGATTTTGCATAGTTGGAATAAAGAAAAGGAACTCATGGTATTGTTTAAGCAAAATATCTATGCATTGCTAATAATTTGATGCGAAATGTATAATTTTGACCATAATTCCAAATGAAAATTTCATGTGCGTCCATTTCAGCAAATGAATTTTTTTTTCAAGAAATAATACTTATTCTCCTCTATATACATATGTATAGTTTTGTTAATTTTCACCAGAAGTGAAAAAAATCAAATCTTGAAAATTGAAATGCATTTGATGAAAATGGCAGATGAACAGCGTGGTGATTTTTGCATTAATTTTATTGATAGTTTTGAAGCAGAAAGCATATTTTAAAAAAAAATTGATTTATTCAATCAAAAATGCAGTATTTTTTGCTTACTAAAAATTCAGATAAAGTTTGATAGGTAGAGTCGGAAAAGTGAACATTTTTATATTACAGAATGATTGGACGTGAATAGTTTATATATACAAAAAAAAAACCCTAAAAAATAGGTAACATAAAAAGATCAAGTGATTAAATGAATAGTTTAAACCATTACTTATGAAAATTACACATGTCTTTTTGAGTATAAAAGTGAGAATACAGATATGTGCTTTGAAATTTGTATCTAGAAAATTGGTTTTGAAAATCAATTTCTGATTGAACGAATTTCAAAGTACCCATCCTTAGTGGCAGTTTCATTTTCACCAAAACATATGAAATAGTTGAGCAAATCTAGTTAAATAAACTGTTTACAGCCAATCAATCAGCAGAAAATAAATAAATCTAATGGTAAGATATAACAAAAAACAAAACATATAGATGTATAGTCGTAGCCAAAAATAAAGGATGGAGAAAGGGATAAATATCCAAATGACATTTTCGCTCTTTCCAATTTTTCTTTTAATATGGTTCAACGGCATCATATTCACATCGATTTCCTCGTTAATATATTTTTTTTTCGACATATTTGATTTGTTTTTTTCCCGTTTTAATATCGCGTCTTTGACAGCTTACTCGATTGGCTGTTGCTATCGCAAGAATCGTGCACGTTAATGCGCCATCCGAGGTATCGATGAGTAAAACACTGATAGTAAACTGTGTCTGGTGTATTTTCATCTGGACGCCATGTAATTACTGCCGGTTCACCTTCTTCGCATTTCAGAGAAAGACTTCGTTGATAGGCACCGAACGAAGAATATTCGTCGGCCGAAGGGCCATCGGGATCGGGTGTCCAGTTGCACAATCGTCCAATACCAGTTGGTGTCAATGCACCAAATCTATTTCGTTTTACACCAGCAAATATGCGAACATTCTGGATGAACAAAAATTTATGATAAAATCGCGTGGAAGTTAAGTACTTTTTTTCTAATAAACGCATCATCACCACAAATACATACCGCTTTTTCCTCGTCGCTCTTGTATTCATAACCGCCAACTGGATCGTCTGTGATGTAAAACGGATGATATTTAGCGGGAACGTCTGGATCATGACCACCCTCCTATTAAAAATATAATTTAAATGAGGTTATATTTCATTTGTTTAACATAAAATAGAAAATCTTCTTCTTACAACAACAAATGTGTATGTCTTCCCTCTGATAACATTTATTTCCGGAATTAATAAACCATTGATAAACCTAAAAAATTATGATTTTCATATTAATATCAATTTTTTTTTAGTTTTTATTATTTTAAATTCATTAAATCAGTGAATCGTTAAATAATGATAGCAACTGAATAGTATTTGTTAATACTAAAATATGTAACGATTCAATGTATTAAATAAATTATTGTGAATTACCAACTGATGCCCCAACCGACATGTCCTAAAGATAGTTATTAGATTTTTTTTAATAATATTTTTTTATCGCGTGTGTTATTGTAAATAAATACTAAACCTGTGATTGCTGAATAGCCTTGTTTCCCACCAGTTGGCCCCAATTGTGCATAGAAGACTCCATCATCAGGTTCATGACCTAATTTAGAAATAAATAAGAAAAATACACTTAAGATTTGAACATGGAAATAATAAAGAGCTTATGTATTGTATAAAATCTACATTGAATTGGAGGAATTTCCCAGAATTTATTTCTTGTGACTGGAGCAACTCGAGCTGGTACTGATATTGGTGCACGTGATGGAGTGATAGATTGTGAACCACGTCGGTCATTTGAGCGAATCTGAATGATAAGAAAACAAAGACGAAATTTAATAAACAAATTTGAATTGATGTCAATAATTGTTATTCTTACATTATCCGATTCATCGTAATTGGTGCTTTGTGGGGTATACGCTTGTGAATGATGTCCTGATTGTTGTGTTGGTGGTTCATAGAGCTCTTCGTTGTCACCACTGTCGCTAATTTTCATGTCATTCTCTGACAGTGGGCAATTCCACGACGGTTCACGGCCAAATTGAATTAATTTCGTTTGTTTTGAGAACAAACTGTGAAATGAAACTTCAAGTCGTTGATTTAATGGTCCAATTGCCCAAACAATGGCTTGAGACGAATTTCCATGAATTGGCAAATCGAATTCATCAGTAGCTTTCAGCGGGCGTTGATAAGTTACAATTGAATAGCCATTGACAGTTGCTGCATTCAAAACTCGAATAGAGTTTGTTTTATCCTATGGAATAACAGAATGAAAAATGTATGACATCAGTTGAATTAATCAAAATTTTCATATTTTCCATTTGATTTCAGATGCATAAAAGCCAACCACTCCAATTCCCATGTGACATTTTCCTTTATTATCTAGTCGGCTGGTTATTTTGAAGCCATACATTGGCAAGGTTAAAAACTTCCATACAAAAACCCTAGCAAATCGAAAGAACTTTTCTCGTCAAAAAATCCCAGCAACTCAGAAAACTGTGTGTCGAGAAAAATTGAAAGAAGATTTTTGATTCTTCTCGGATCAAATTCTAGTGTAATAGATGGGAACCTCTCTCCTTGCCAGTGTGTATGGTTTGAAACATTATCGGCTGTCTGAATGTGATTATTTCAAATAAAATCGACGCCTCTACTTCAGTCGCCTTAGTCAAGATTGATATATTGATATTAAAAGTGTTAACTCACTCCAAGCCTTGTATCTGGGCAACTTCCTCTATTACCGGCACATTGTGATTTGGCTTCAAGGTAATAGTCTTCTGCATAACCTTTGCCAGTGTTTTTATCGATCCAAGCGACTGCAACATCAGCACCAACCATAAACGTTTTCGATCGATCAGGTGATAAACCAAATGACATGTATTCCCCATCATCTGAAATATATTATGTTTTTATGAAATCTAATTACCAAAATTGGACTTGTAAAAAATTTATATTACAATAGAAACACTTAATGAAATATTAATTTAAAAACAAACAAAAAATATTATACCTAATTTAGCAACGAGCTGAATTACGATACTTTCGCCAGCAACCGCCCATCTAACTTCAAATGCAAGGTCATCATAAAGCACTTCGCAATTAAGTTTTGACTATAGAAAAAGAAGATACCAGAAATGAAAAAAATTAATTCGTTTTTTACTTCTCTTTTAACGATCGCCGTTTTTTGCTGTTGTATTTGAATGCACGCCTAATTATGACATTATTATTAATGAACTCATTGAATCGTATGAAAATCAACTCAAGCAAAATTTGAACATTGTTACATATAATGAAACCCATTTATTAAAACTAAAAGCCAACGATTATTTTTTTTTACTATTGTCATAACATAAGCAGTGGGAACTGTATGTGTAATATATATGTATATGTAGAAACTTCCCTTTTTATATGGATTTAAAACGTGACATACAGGTCAACTGTATTCGAAATCATATTTTTGATCAATCCTTTCGGGACATTGTCACAAACATAAGCTTAAAACCCATTTTAGAAATATTCACAATTTTTGGATGATAATAGACACACAATCGCAATGGGTAGACAAATTGCCGTTTGACAAATCACCGTTAGTCTCTTGATCAAAACAAAAACCAACAAAATTCCATCTATTTTTAAAAATTGATCTCATCGCTAAATATTTCACGGTGCACGTCTTATTTTAAACTTAAGCGTTGGTGATAAAACTTTCATTGTTTTAAAATCCAAAAATTCACATTTAAAATCATTCAAATTACATAAAATCGATACATTTTGTTTATTATTACTACTATGCTTTCTCAAACAAAAAAGTGTTATAAAAAAAAAAAATACTAATTTGCATTAAATATTTGTAAAACACAAGGAATAGAAAATTTTGTTTTGCTTTTTTTGTTTCCTTTTCTTATTTGCTTTTTTTTCTTTTACATAAATAGTTTCTTTTTGTGTTGTCGTATAGTGTTCGACAAAAAACTGATTCAAAAATACATGCCGAGGAATGAAAGTATAAGAAGAGACAAACAGACAACATCGATTACATTATAGTTTCCTCTTTCCATTCTCTTATTTACTAAACTTTTTATTTACACAAATGTTCATTCCTCTTATTGAGCACAAAACTATTTTGTCGCACTTTGTTTCAGGTCTTTTTTTAAGCTTTAAAAAATGCTTCTGTAATACAGAATCTGCAAGTTTTCTTCTTTTAAAGATATTTCAAACCCATTAGTTGGCATTAGAATTGGCTAATTTTTATGGTGGTTTTTTTTTCGAATCGAAAAAAGAGTGTCAGAAACGAGTGATGGTCAGAAGTTTTTTTTTTGTATCGCTTGTTAAATTATAGTGTGAGTGTACATTTTTATGGGACATCTCTAACGAAAAACAAATTTAAATTGCTAATTGTTGATTCTTTATTGTAGTACTTATGCACATTGAATTTTTTTTTATTGAATAATATAAATTGCATTCTATTTGTACAGCGTCGCTTATTAATACCATAACTGGATGAACGTAGTAAATATATAAGAGAGAAAAAAAAATGAAATAACAAAAACGAAGATTTTAGCAATTTGCGTTTAACTAAAATATCCACTTTGATGACGACGTTTTACCTGAGGACTGACGCCCAGCATTTTAAGCGATGGTGGAACATTTATGTTTGATGGTATTTTGACATGACCAAAATCAACGGTGAAAGCTTCACACCATATGCCAAAGTGTCCAATATCAAAAATGGTTAAGTCTCCGGGCAACGTTAAAACAATCGTTTTTCGATCATAGCGTTGTAATGGCGTTACACGACCATTTTCATCCGGTATACGAATGCCGTTTGGTGTTGGTTTGTCACCACGTCCTACCCAAAATTTGCCATCTATGAAATTGAAATGAAAAATATTTTCAATTTTAGCATTTTCTAAAGAGATTTCGAGCCATTTCAATTCAATTCCAATCAGACATTTGCTTAATTCTTTTTACCTGGAGCTTCACCATCATAGCTGAAGTTTGGAATGAGTATCGTTTGAGCATCAACGACAACAATATTGTCTGATGAAACAGCATGTACACCTCTTAACGGTGCTAGCTTATATGGTCTCGGAAATTCAAAGTTTCTTTGAATTGAAACATCACCAAAATTGACGGCGAATTCGTCACACCAAACCGAAAACCATTTTATGTCTAGAAAACGAATGATTTCATTTATTTTGTTTGAATAGGTTCTGAAGTATTGAATATTTTTGTTATTTTTTTTAGATTTTTATAACTAAGATTACCGGTACTTACCACGCAATGTTTTACCCTCGGGCAGTGAAAGTGTAATGTCTTTATTACGGTAACGTCTTATGACACCCGAACTGCCACGTTCATCACGAAGGCGAATTGCACCCTGATTTTGTATTCTTTTTGTATTACCGACGTAAAAATATGCGGCTACCATTCAGAATTGTTATCATGTCAGTTGGGAAAAGGATAAAAGAGAGATAGAACAAAACAAGGGATTCTATTATCAAAAGTGTATTGTGTCTTCTATTTTTTCAAGTTCCAAAATAATATATCATTATTTACAAACTTTAATATTGCGAAACGGTTTCTTTATTAACATCAAATTAAGATGATAAGTTAATAAATAAACCAATAACGTAAATTCTGTAACAAGTGCAGTACATTTTACCGGCCGAAATTTTGTTGTAAATTTTTCTTCGAAAGACATTCAATTCAAATGTCTCTTAACGTGATATTTTTAAATGGTTTTCTAAATAACTGCGATTTTCTTCAAACGTGTGATGCAGTTTAACTTTTTAATATAAGAAATTTCAAATCACTTTCCGGGTATTTTTGGAACTTTTTCTTGTATATTTTAGAAATATTTCAAAACTTTTTGTCAGTCGGGTCATATACGGATAATTTAAAAGAAGTGATAAATATCCAAATTAAACAAATACATAAAATTTATGGAAATGAAATAACCAGAAAATAAGAGAGAAAAAAATAGCAATAGACTTTTATCTCTGGAAATGACGTGATATTGACTTTATGTGTTTTTTGCCGTTGGCGGGCATCCTTTGTTTTTGTCGTTTGTTTTTATCTTCTATGGGGCGGCCATTTGGTTCTGTTTCAAAGCCATTTTTCAAGTAATTAATCTCAACACATTTGATTTTTCTCTTGTCGAATGTTCGAACCAAACTAAGCGGCCAACACAACATTACCGAAGATAATAAAATCGATTCTTTTCACTAGTGTATGCTCTTGTAACCGATAACCAGAAGTTTTAAGTTTGTTGCAAAAAAAAACGAACATACAATAAACCGCTCATGGAACTAGTTTCCAATCATATTATGGATTATTTATTACCATCGCAAAGGAGAGCTGCAGCCCATTTTTTTTTTCTTTCTTTTTGTGCTGCTGTTCATTTGTTTGTCATCTGATGCCTCATAAATATGGAATATTTGCTTAAATGCGAATAAAACAATATGACAAAGACATTTCTCGATAGAATATTCTGCCGAATTATTCTAAATCAAATAACGTGCCAACCATAAAATTGTGAAAAGGTTATGAATCAATGCCAAGCGTTTACTTTGACCGCTTCCATAAATCAATTATGCTAATGAGAGTAGGCGGTCGATCGCGCATCATAGCCATCGAAATGATTTAAAAATATCCAACTAACACAAGAAAAAATTTTTTATACCGAAAATGAACAGCTCAACTTGCGTTATTTGTGCGCAATATACTTTTCACACGTATGAATGGTATTGCACTAATAGGTTTATTTGAATAATAACATTTAAAAATAAAAATAAACAAATTACCTGGTCCTTCACCATCATAGTTGAAATTCTTGATGAACAGAGTCCGAGAATCAACGGCGTATACATCACCGGACACACCATGATGCAAACTGCTCAACGGACCCAATGGAGCACCATAATATTCACGTGCAGCCGTTACCACTTCGCCTATTTATTTATTTTTTTGAAACAAAATCAATGTGATGTTCCCTTCACTATCTATGATATTTAATAAATTATATTTTTTGTTCTCTTATTGTATGCAATGTAACAGTTTGTACCGTTATAAAAAATTTGAAAATTTGGTTGTTTTTATAAATCATTGACATTGGCGGATAACATTTATGATGTGTGTCGCCATCGATGCATATTATAGAAAAAAAAATGTATTAAGGTTAGTAGAACTTCATGTATTTGAAGCGAATAGCACACCATATTATTTCTATACCTAGTTCTTCTATTGATTCTTATAGATGTGTAGGCACATACACAATGGTGGGTTAAATCGTAAATAAAGATGTAAAAAAGAAGTAAATGTCTATCTAATAATCGCAAAGGAGAAAAATTAGACGAGAATAAGAAATAACACAAACATCCAAAGTGTAACCGTTTGTTTTTTAACGGTTTTTCTATTGATGCGATCGCGGTATTTCCATCGTCGTTTCTTGCCGTCGTCTTTTACAACATCAGCATGCGGAATATAGATATCTTTACATTTTCCATGTCTAGATGAGTTCTTTTGCTAATAAATAGCTTTGAATAATTGACTGCAGTTCGTCGAACGTTTACGCGTTAGATTTCTCTATCTCTCTCTCTCTCTATCTCTGTATCTTGCAGGATAAATTGATTTTATGTTTATATTATTGTAGCGTTAGCACGTTCAGTTTGAAGGCAATATTCCAAAGTACTTTTCTAAACGCAATATTATTTCATATCAAAATCAACACCTTGCTCTTTTTTAATTAAAAGCATGAAAAAAGAACTGCAACAAATCAATTATGTTGGCTGGAGAATGAGTTGCTGTATTATGTAGATAACACGCACTTACATTCGCCCGAAACATTTAAATAATTTAACAGTGAAAAAAGATCTGAGTGCTTATTGCTTCGTACAATGTAAATTCGATCATTTCAGATTTGTAACGATTATTAGTTCCGTCAATTGGAAGAATGTGCAATGGACAATTATTGAAATGGACTAGAATCAAACAAACTCAAATACACACACACATATATTTTCACATGCACACAATGTTTACCTATTACGTGATATTTTTTTTTCTTCAACTCGTTACAGTATTCAATTGAGTAGCATCATAATGCGTTCACAAGACTGTTACCACTGGAATGAATATAACACAACCGAGGTAAATGCATCGAATAGCTAGTTATATTGCATTTGGCACTAAAACTTGGTTTCTATTCTTCTCATCAACTTCTTGAGCTGTTGCAGCTCGATTTTTTTTTCTCTTCATCTTCATTTGTTGTAGTTGTTTCTATTTTTATGAGACTCACACGCGAACGTATAAATGTTAAATAATTCTGCATTCATTGGATACAAATACAATGGATGGTGTCTGTTAAATTCAATACGTGCTTGCGCCAATGCACATTCGCTAGAGAGGAGAATTTTCTCAAACTAATATTTTCTTTTTGGTTTTGTGTTGCATTTGTTTATCTCGATTTTTGCTACAATGCTTTACGAAAAGATTAACTTGAACAAATTTGAACAGAATGAAACGGAACGGAAAATATAAAAATTATAATAAAATTCCCAAAATGATATATTTAGTACGTGTACACGATTGTGCAATTCTTTTCAAAGCCGCATAATCCATCAATGTGAATGCATAAAATATTGCTATGTAATTAACAAGTACCCATGAAAACTAAAAACGAAATAACATCAATATTCATAGTATTTAAGTGGTAAAACAACGCACAATGTAATGTTCAGGTGTCGAGAGGTAACAAAAATACAACAACAACAACAACATGTTCAACCAAAATGAAAATATGGCAAACAAGACGGCACTTCGTTAATTGTATCACTAAAGGCAGACATGATCTAGACAGAGAAAGTATTGAGTTGAAACGATGAATTGAATTACACACGAGTTTATTACGATTATGTTCAGAAGGAAAGGTACCAGCGACAACAATGAAAAAACTACGGTCCGTAATGAAAGCCACAAAAGGCAAGACTTTGAACTAAAAATTTATTAACTACACCGCGAAAAGCGAAATTAATTGAAATTTATTCAAATCGATTGCCCGCTCCAATCGATCTCGATCGTGATGTAATTTTTTTTTCATTTTTTTTCATTCAAAAGACTCAATTACTCCATATTTTTCCATTTATATATCTACTCCATATGTATATTACTTAGAAAACTGAAGCTACTCCATCGGATTTACTTACATAATAAAATAACTGCACATATCAGCTTCATTGTCGAAGAAAAATATGATCGTCGTGTTTGCGTGAATATGAATGTTTTAACTGACTTTTGTTTTATTTTCTCACAAAATAATTTTTCTAGTTCTTCTTAAATCTCAATAAAAAAAAATTTACTTCAGAAAATTATGATAACAGTCCTTATTCCAGTAGTTGTTGGTCGAATGTTATTTCGTCATTGTGAGCTATGTACACGACTCTATCTTTAGATTTCTCAAAAAGAAGTATGTATCGTTGATTTTTGCTGTTTTCTCCTTGAAGATGTGATTGCAAAAATCATCAAAAATGTGCTGTTATTTCTTTTATTCCAATCACCTTCCCACTCTACAGTTTTTTAATATTCGGTTTTTTTTTTATTTTTCAAACTGTTTTTTTTTTTCTTTAAATTCAACTCAATTTTTTTTCGGATAAATTCATCTATTCAGGTGTTCGTTGATTTTCAATTTGTTTTTGTGTTTTAACGGTTATTTTTCGATTCGTATTTCTCGTTTGCATTTATAAATTTAAAATATTTGTGACACTAATAACATAATCAATTTTTTTCTAGTCGATTGTATTCATTTGATGAAATTGACATTCGATAAATATTGTCTGTTCCGAAACTTGATCGAAAAAAAAAGTGCACAACAAATATTGCCGCCCACAATGTTGACAACAATGAATAAACTATGATGACAATGGATATAAAAAAAACTACACCGAGACGACGATCACTTTTCTCGACCAGACGATTCAAATTGCCAACTAAAACTAAATTTAAAGCGATTTTGTAATTTCTGAATGTTTTCGCGCACACAGTAAATCTTATAGATTGGAAAGAATCATTATGCCAAATAGCAGCAGTAGCAGCAACAACATCATACCATACGATCCGTTCGATGTGTGTATGGTATGGGTGAAGTGTATTTATCGCACAGCACATCAATTAAACACAAGAGAAACAGAAAGACAGTGGATTAGGAAAAAAAAAACAACAACATATACATCAACATGCGAACACACTACCGAAATGAGCAGCAAGAAGCTCTCGCAACCACACAGATGGGAGGAAAGACATCAGCAATACTAAAATCAAATGACTACAGTATATACACGGGCATCGTTGAAATATTCAAGAAGGGGGGCCATATAAATTTTCTTAAATCATACTTCGTTTATTGTAATATAAAAATTATATTGCCAATTCCATGAAAGAATTTTAAACATCTTTAAAAAATTGTGGCTCATTTCCTAGCCCATGTGTGTATAACATCTGATAAATGGTGGAAATATCGTTCGACATCAGTGTTTGTAAAAGAGAGAAAGAGAAAAAGTAATTGTTACTATGATGATATATGCAACATGAATATGCTGCAAACCATAAATTTGCACAAAAAAAAGTTATTGATTTTTTTAATACCTCAATCATCTAACGACATATATTCAAATCCATTTGCAACTAAAAAATCATTTCGATTGATATTTGAGCTAAAATTAAATATAAATGTAGCAGCCACCAAGAAGTGGTGAATCTGATATGAACTCTTCTCTTGAAATCTTACGGCAAAAATCCATATCGCATGGATATATGAACATGCTGCTATGGTAAAAAGATTCGTACGCAAGCAACAGAGTGATAGTACTGTGTCGTCATATGACTAGATATTTGGTGCGGATGAATGCAATAGAGTGCTTGCAGATATATCTGTGCTGTTGAATGTATAACGCGGATATAGATATGAAAAAATTACTCTTTTCACTTCAGGAAAGAAGAAGTAAATCGGATTTATTAGAGTATTTTATTAAATTAGATACTAGTTTTTGTTTGTTTTTATAATTGAAGTAAATATTTTTTTTTTGATTTGGTGATACAATAATCATGATACATAATGAATTTTATATGTAAATCGATTTCCATTTGGAGAAATTGCAAACAAAATATGAGAAGTTGTGTCAAATTGAATTTTGTGTTTTATTTAAGGAAAGTATTAAAAAACATCTCTCCGCAGACAGTTTGCAATTATACGCCCGATATTTCAATAACAGTCATCAATTGGGTGAGTTGCGCTTGCCGAAGAAGACCTTGTATGCCGAAGGAGCATAGGAGGTGTAGAGAAACTCAAGACCTGGCTCTCGATAGAGAAGTTTGGAATGGAATTGTGAGAGGAGTTCGAGTCTAGAATTCATTTCGCAAACATACCGGAATGTATAATCGGTCTATAAATGATTGTTGTAATCATTAATTGCCCCAAAATTAACTAGATTTTCAAATATATGCAAGAAAAGAATTGGATCTGTTGAAATATTTTGAATTTTGTTCGATTTACATTCATGCCAATAGCAGCTGAGTCCAGCCAGATCAGATATTTCAACTGCACGAATATATCTTCGTACAAGGTCTGAAAATAACAATTAATAATATAATTTACATCACTTAACGACCGATCAGTTTTTGGGACTATTTATATCCAAGGAAATGTATTGCATCGGTTAATTATGAAACAAAAAGTGAATAAAAAAGCCGATTATCAATAATTAGTGTGTTTGTGTATGTGTACGTGTGTCGAAGTTCGTATCTACGCTAATTCGCTGCAACGATTTCATTGTCTATGTGCGTGATTTATTTGTATCATTTGCATAACTGAATTATGTGGAAAATAGAAAGACGGGATCGTGCGTACTAAATGTCAATACCTTTATCAGTTTTTTTAATGGCTGTGTTGAGAGATAGATAGAGAGAAAGAGAAAAGAAAGAGATCGTCGTTCCGCGTGTTTACCAATTATTGTATTGTTAGAGCATTTCATACGTAATCAGCGTTTCAAATAGGAAACATGAACGGTAAACATATAAAATCAAGCCGGTAACAAATTAAGCTAAAATCATTGATCGTGCAGTATTTTAAAATGATCAATTCATTGTGGTAACGAAATAAAAATGAAGGCGACCGATTTATTATGCGCCATAAAACGCGTACATAAATTTGATGCACATTAACTTACATAAGTATGCCAGTATGCTACAGACTATAAAAAGAAATTATAACAAATTTTTAAGATTAATTACTTTGCATATATATTCAATTCAATTAAATGTTTACACCCAAAAAAATGCAACCACAACTTAATCATACCACAAACGGCAAAAAATCACTCAGTGGTATTTCTTAAACTAATTTACTAACTTTTTTGGAACTTAGCGCTATGACTATGAAAGTAAATGCTGATCCACAAAAGTCTTATTTTATGAGTTCAAACCATGGTTTATTATTTAAATAGATATATAGATTTGAATTGGATTTTTTTTTTTAAATAGAAAATCATCGCATTTCATTGAACTTTTGGAGTTGAAACTCGTTTGGCGATAAGATTATATATTCATTTTTATGTTTGTTCAAGCGAAAGAAATTTGGTGATGTGAAAAATACTAATTGTTTAAATGGTCGTAAATTGATCGTTGACACATTCAAAAAGGCGTATTACTCGAAGTAAACTATCTCTTTTTATATGTGCGAAATACAATCATACTGCATGTCAACGTCGAACATTTTCACATTCCATTCAAATAAACATTGGAATGCCGTCATTTAGTGAGAGATTATTGCATGCTGAATTTATCAGACTAGCTGAGATAATCGCACAAGAAAAAATGTCTGATCTAGAAAATAAACTCAACAACATACAATTTAAAACGAATCACCGATTTTCAATTAGAGTGAAACAGTGCAGTTATATGACGAGCCAAATCACTCTCTTCCACTCTAGAAAAATTTCAAACAGATCTAATTTATTAAATGTTTTTATGCATTAACCTGAATTAGTCTGATAATCTCAGCGTGTGCAAACTTTTTAAAGTTATGTGTCTACTTGAACTTGTCACTCAAACGTGAACTGTTTTGTTATCACTTTCCAAAATAATTTCAAACTTGAATGTTTTTTTTTATAAATATTTTGATGTTTCAAAAATATCGATTGAACTTTAGCCCTGTCTTCAATAATTGATCTTTATTCGTTTCTGATAAGTTATCAGTAATAACATGAATTGAAATCGGCAAATATAAAGCCAAAAGAAAATTTGTATTCAGTCATCAGTTGTCGTACAAACGAAAAATACATTGTAATACTTTTGATGTTATTTCAGGCTAAAAACAGAAGAGTTTTTTTAGCAAGTGTTGAAGTATTTTTGTACAGTAATTTTTGCAAGTAGTCGAGTGGACAGTGTTGATAAATAAAAAAAAATCAGAAGGTAAAAAGTGAAAGAGAAAAGATGTCAAAGTGGCCGCTGGATCAGGTAATTATTTACAAAAAAAATACAACAACAACAACAATATCAAGAAATGGTTAACAACAGAGAATTTACTTTTCGTTGGTTCACTTGAAAGAAAACTTCCAAATGATATCGTTACAAATATTATATAATGCAGATGAACCGACTAACTTCGATTGATTGGTACAGGCGACGCTTTACATGCCACACATTTATAAAGCCGTACACTGTTGCTCTGTGTACAATGTACATTCACATCAAAATTTCACTAGTGGCTGAATGATTGCTGCGAAGCGTTCGTTATTTATTTGTTTATTTGTTTCTTTCTATTTTCTCTCGGTTTTGCTTTCAGTATGATGTAAATGGTTTTGCTATTATCGAAGATTTTTTTATGGAAAATGAAACGAACGAGATGCGTGAATGTGGTATTGAATTATGCCAAAATGCACCCGAAAATGATCGTCGAACATTTAACACTGGACAAAATTCAGCACATTTAAAAGATGAATATTTTCTTAATTCAGCCAATAAAATTCATTATTTCTATGAAAATCGTGCACTAGACGAGGAAGGTAATTTACTAGTGGATAAAAGCATATCACTTAATAAGGTAAAAAAAAACCATGAAAAAGATATTAAATTTGCTTAAAGTTATTGATAAGAACAAATAAAAATCAATGCTTCGCTTTGTAGATAGGTCACGCACTTCATGTACTTCATCCAACATTCAAAAAGTACACATTTGATGAGCGTATTAAAAATGTAGCGAAAAAACTTGGTTTCAAAAAACCAAGCATACCGCAGAGCATGTTCATTTATAAAAATCCAATGATTGGCGGCGAAGGTTTGTACGCCATTCAATTTGCAGAATGAAGAATAAAATTATAAAGTAATTTTGTATAAATAAAACAAATTCACAACATTTTTTTTTGTGCATAATTTAATAAATTAGTGAAATCGCATCAAGATGCAACATATCTGTTTACCGAGCCAATTTCGATAACTGGTTTTTGGATTCCAATGGAAGATGCCACACTTGAAAATGGTTGTTTGTGGTTCATCAAAGGTTCACACAAACATGGACTGCATAATCGGTATGAAATTCATTGAATTATTCAATTACTATTGCTGATAATGATAACGTTCTCACTAAGAATATAATACCGTTACTATTCTTATTTATAGTTTAAAAATACATATTACATTTTTTCTCTTTATAATAGTTTGATGCGCAATGCCAATCCAAATTCAGACGAATTATTAGTATTTGACAAACCGACACCATATTATTCACCTGATCTATTTACTGCGGCTCCTGTTAAAAAGAACTCATTGGTCATCATTCACGGATTGGTGGTGCATAAAAGTGAATTGAATCATTCGGATAAAAGTCGCAATGCATACACATTTCATATTATGGAAACGGATAATGTTAAATATTCACCAGAAAATTGGCTTCAACTACCAGTCGGCGAAGAGTTTCCCGAACTTTTTTAATTCAATTCAAATACACATTTTCTCTCTCCCTCTCTCTCTCTCTTTCACTCCCTCACTCTGTATTTATCTGACTAAATAAATAAATTGCTTGCAAATGATCTGGCAACAGAGTAGATTTATGAATGTTACCTTCTGAAGATTTATTAATTAACTAAGATCTAGCAGCTGTAGCAAAACAAATTACATGACGAGCGATTTGAATGTTATTAAGACAATGCCAGTAGTAGAATGTAGTTTTGTTTCTCTTTGCCATTAAATTTTTTCGTTTTTTTTTTTCTGTATTCATGTTCACAAGTAGAAATATTAACAAAACAAAAAAAAACTAATGGTATTTTTTTTCTAATTTTATGCATACGTTTCTAACTATTATTCTCTGCTTATGTTCTTATGCGATTCTCTGTGATGCGTTACACGAGGACGGCAACAAAAATTCAAGCATGAACAAATATACATAAAAACTGTTAAATACATTTGAAAACTATTCCGATAAAGGACGGTCAAAACAGCAAAGTTCATTCACGGAGTAAAAAAAAAAATAGATGGAGAAAAAGAACACATTGAATTGAGATGGATTTGTGGGTGATATAATATTCATGATATTTGTTGGTATTTGGTAACATATTTTGAAATTGATTAATATTTCTCGCACATCGGACAGTTCGTGAAGACACATGATGGAGTGTGCGGAATGCCCATTGTGAATGGTATTGGAAATAGCCATTTCGGATAGGCGAGCACTGGTGTGAAATGTGACCTTCCATCCAATGGTGATGACGATGTTGATGTTGTTTGTTGGTTTTGGCTCTGTTTGATTGTAACACGATACATGCAAAGATTGAAAATAACAACAACAACAACAAAAAAATATGAATTAAAACTTTGAAATCTGAATGTTTATTATGATAATAAAAATAGAATTCCGAATTTGGAATATCGAACAACAAAAGACCGAGAGAAAAGAAGAATAGTAAGAAATTGCTAAAAAAAACTGATTCAACTTTCTTGATTTATAGTGGTAGTTGGTTTTGAGACCGGTTTAAAAGCGCTTGGTGCTGGTCGACATTGCTCGATTGCTTTCAACAAATCCAAATCACAGCGACGTAAAATTAGTTCAAGTACTGATCGTTTGCGGTGTGGAAAGAGATGAGCCAACATATCAAGGGCACTTTCAGATACGCTTCGCGTATCACCCGAACAACTACCTGCTAATTAATTAACAAAATAAATAATCAAAACTCACTGTTGCCGAAAATCGGATATTGTCGAAAATCTTGTATTCACCAAATGTAATTGTAAAGGAAATAAGAAAGAAAAACACTCAATACACTTATCGAATTTCTTCTTTTTTTTCTCCTCAGACCGATAAATTGTAAATACAAACGGATACTTACGATTTTTGGTTTTCGGTACAAGCGACAGACATTCAGATCCATTTAAACTGGATGAGGCAATTGTGCACGGTTCCTTTATGGACATTCCGAATATTTTACCCGGTGGTAATGTTTCGATTATTTGGCCAGTTTCATTTGACACCAATCGCATTGCAATTGCATCTTCAACGGCCTGTTGTCGTTTCAATGCGACCTGCAAAGCCAATGCGTGTAATTTATGTATGCATCAATCTTTTAGTTTCAATCAATAAGCGTTGATTTTTTCATTTCAAGCAGCTGTTGTATTAGTTGGAAAAACAATCGTATCAAGTAACTAAAATAACCAAAAGTGTGGATAACTTGCAATCAAATATCCTCATACGATTTCGTGACTCACATTTTCTACAAGATTTTTCAACAAAATCCATCTTCAATTTAACATCCCAATGAAAGAACAATATGGCCAACATCAATTATAACCCTCGAGCTAATATGAATAAAAATTACTTTTTCCATTCGGTTCAGGTCTTTTGTGTATAACCTTGTCAACAACTTAATTGAAATTCATATCATTCCATTCCATTTCGGATGGACTCTTTTGATTTTCTTTTCCATGTCTCGACTAGACTCATGCATGTATATATTTTCAGTTGTGATGCGATGCGATGAACAATGCATCAATTGCCACATGAAATAAATATACTTTTGTGCAAACATTTTTATCGAGTAAATTGTTAATGTAAACAACGGGTCAAATGACAGGATCACACCACAGGCTACGAATCAAACCAAAACCAAATATTTGCACAAGAATTAAATCAAAACTTGTTCAACTGTTTTACGGTTTTTCGCTTAGATGTATTTTCCCCAAATAAAATCTGCACAGATTTTTTTTTCGCTCGTTTTATTTGACCTTTTCTACGTGTAAAAAAATGTTGATATGCACATTTTTCTTAAACAAATGTACGGATATTATGTTTGTATAAAATTAAAACTATCGAAGATCGAAAGATTCTATTTTCGGTTTGGAACGACTAAATACAGTCAGTTTCTGTTAAATGACTGTGCTCTTGAAACTCTTTAATTTCATTTTAATATTTCTAATTTTTCTAATATATTTAATTCAACGATATTTACTAACCTGTGCAGCCATAATACGTTGACGTTCATAAATCAGTTTACATTTTTCACAGTGGCAATTCCGGTATATACAGTTTTTCTTGTGTCCACGTAGACCTGAAACAAGGTTTGCATTTTTTTAATTTCAAATTAAATTGAATGTTTAAAATTATTTGATTTGGTGGGATTTTTGTTTCAAATCAAACTATTTTTAATCCAATTAAAAGCCATTTGACCAAATCAATGCAAAAAATATATAAATTGATTTAAAATGCGTAAAGCCAGACCTGAAATGACACCGTGATTACGACATCTGGCACATTTCGGTAGACGACCATTGTTCACACTTTTTATTGATGGTGAGTCCATTGTTAATTGCTTATGTTTCTTACTTTTTGTCACTGATACTGATAACATTCCCAAACAGTAGAATACTTGTACGCTAGAAAAGATGAAAATAGATACTAAATTGTATGGAACGATTTGGAGAAAATGTAGCAGGAATGTGGTATTTTCTGTAGCATATCCATCACCACTAAGATGTGTTTTTTTGGAAGGCGTGCCCAATGTCCCAAAAATGCAATCTCCTTAATCGAATGTACAGATAGCAAAACATTTTAACAACTCAGAATTTTTCTACTTTTGATATCAGTCCCGCCCTCGTTTAAAAATTATCCATACAAAATTTGCGGTAGAGCGCATGAGCGCTACATCATAATTCATTGCAAAAGTAAGAGGATTTTCTTTTTGAAATATTTATTTTTTTATTTGCATAACTCAATAGCTAGTAAGTCAGTACTGAAATCAAATTTTATAACAAGGCTTGTTTAAATCCAGTTAAAACACTGAGTTCAATCATTTGCAAGTACTCTTTTTAGATCTTCTGGTCAATAGCAAGAAGTTGGTATTCTGAATTTTACATTTTGAACCACAGACAATACATTCTCTTCACACTAGATAATTTCTAAATAAGCAATTTTTATTAACACCTGAAATTTGAGGATTCGAAATTTGAAATTTTCAAAAAATTCCAAAAATGTTGACATATTTCGCAATTGCTTAAACAAAAAAAAATCAAAATATTCAAAAAAAAAAATTGAATTGAACTAAAATTAACAAAAATAATATATTAAAACAGGTTTGTAAATATCGTTCAGCTCATGGTTGTCTCTATTTATTGGATGGACCACTGGAACGAATATTGAAAAACGCCTTTGAATAGTCCATTCTTTCGCTAACATATGCAATGCTCTAGAGAATGCGGCAACCATACAATGTCATCCAGAGTATCGCTCAGCGCTGCTGCCATTCACAGCATATTAAAATATCTTGCTGAGAATGCGTCGTCCGTCGCATGCGAATGTACGTAGCAGTTT